TTTAAGAGTTTTAACCAAATGCTTTATAAGATAGTATAGATTTACTCTCCACGTATATTTTATAGATATTGTATAATATTTATATAATATTTTTTTATTTTATAAAATTATCTATACTATATTATAAAACATTTGACAAAAACTCTTAAAAACCATTTTTTATGCATGAAGTACTGTTTATTAATGCATATTACTTAAAATTCAATATTACAAGTGCTTTTGCGTAAGTACAACTTATTAAAAGCTTTATTTTTAAATTCGTGTAACTAACTGCAGATAAACATAATCAAATACAGGATAAACATCTATTTTAAATATAGAAAATCTAAAATATACTTAAGATAATCATTGAGTTTCTAACCGAATGTTTAGTTATTATCTTTAACAAAAATTATATTACTAAACCAAAAATAAATTATTTTGTTATTAGACCTAAATTAAATTATAATAAAAATTTGAATTAAACAAGTTACACAAAAAAAATGAGAACTATTAACTAGTTAATTTAATACTAATATCGATTTTATTTTTTTAATTTTTTTATGCTATTTTCAAATTTATATTTTATTTAAAAATAAAAACATTATCGATTTTCTCAAAACCACATAAAATTGTATTATATCGATAAAAACATATAATAAAAACTAAACATTAAAAATAAAGATTTATCTTGCTGCATTGCACGGTTACCCTTATGTATTAGCATTAAAGTTTCATTATAATTATTTTAAAAGACCTAAAATAATTTAATCCAAAAGTTAATTTTTATGAAGAATTAGTTACTTTAATGGATGGGATATTTATAAAAACCAACTGTATTGAATTTAAATAAGAAAAAAGTTCAAAAAATTAAAAAAATTGTTCCATTTTGAATTATAAGATTTAAAGTTATTTTAACTTTTTTAAAATTGTATAATTTAAAAGTTATTTTTATAAAATGACTTGAAATATGTAATCACTTTTACAAAAAGTAGTATTTCAAATTTCTTGGGTTATTTTAATATTTTTAAAATGATGTAATTAAAAGATTGTGAATAAAATAATATAAAAAAATTAATATCATACAATTCACAGAGTTATAGTTATTTATAAAAAAATTCATTCTTACATATATTTTTTAATTAATAAATCATTGAATTTTTAAAAATTGTTTGCTTGAATCATTTTACCCAAAAAAAAAATGTTATATATCATGGTTTGCTTGCCTCACAGATCAAATAAGTAGAAAAACGATTTTTAAGTCATTGTTTTCCTGACTTTTAATCTATCCAGATAGTTGTTACGTAATTTTTTTTAATATATAAGGATCTAATAATAATATTATTATTATAATCTAATAATAATATATTGAATTTAATATGTAGTTATATAATATAAAAAAGGTTAATTCTTAATAAATAATTATTAAAATATTACGTTTTTCAGGATTGTTATTAAAAAAAAAGAAAAATATATATTTTTCTTAAAAACAATTATTAGAAAAAGGTACTTTTTTTAAGGAAAATTTTTAAAAGGAAAAAGAAAACATATACTATTTTTATAGAAATTATGATTAAAAATAATATTTTTTAGTATTAGTAAATAATATTTGTAATAGTAATATTATTATAATTAAATAAAATAACTAAAAAAAATTAGTATAAAAAAAAAAGACAACAAAGAGACAAAAATACAAACAAAAAAGACATGATTATATAGGAGGTAGGGGTGTCATTAGTAAGGGGTAAATGTGTCATTAGCCTTCCCTATTTTTGAACCATTTTATCTGGTTTAAAAAGGATTTCCTGGTGGGGCCAATTTTATACCAAATCAAATCAAACCAATTGGAAACCCTATCAATTAAATTAACTAATTAAAAATTGTACGGATAAATTTACTTGTATTGATATATAGATGACAAATAAGTCGTTGTACTGAATAAACATTCTAACTGTCAGAAATGACCATTTTACACTCAGCCTATATTTTTGGCTGAATAAAGCAACTTTTTGATGAAAATGTTAGATAAATGGCTTTTTAAGCATAAAAAATCTATCAATTTAAACGTTTTTAAAATAAAACAACTTAATATAACATAATAATATGAATTTAATGTTATAATCAAAACAACATTAATATAAATTTTATTGATTTGTGTCAAGCAGAACAAAAGATACATAAACATCTAAAGAAGGCAAGTTGATTTGGAGTACCCATTCAGTTCTAGAACTACCTGGATTTTATTACAACAAAAGATACATGAACACAGAGGTACACCTCCATGAAAGACATATAAATGCTCGATTACAACCTCATACCAAGTTACACTTGAATCCAACATGATATAGAAGTTACATTCGAATCCAACATGATATAGAAGTCGTTACCCAAGTAGATGGTATATACCATATATATAACACATACACATATGCTTTAAAATCTTATAGAATGATAAACAATATGTGCGGATGGCAATCTTATCCTCTGATAAAAATGAGATGAAGATACAACCTTGGTGACGTACATAAAAAGTTTTAAAATGCTCGTCGCACCTTGTCTTGCACCTATAAAAAAGAATGCGTAAATCAAGATTCAGCAAGCTATATGAGGTCAAGAATATGAGATATCACAAAAGAAATCAAAAGTAACTATAGGAACAATTTAACAAATCCGGAAAAACTTGGCTTGCTGACATAAAAAGATATGACAACCGGAAGACATGGAAGTATCGTTCTTCAAATTAATGGTTCCAGTGTTTCCCCTGATTCTTCAGATGAAAATCGAAGCATCACATTTTTGTCAGTGTTGTAAGCAACACAAATCAAAAGTTCCATTCTAATTGTTTTGCATTCTGCCAGTGAGCAATCGAAAACCACGGGGAACAATTGAAAACCATAAAAAGAAAGCGAAAACAAGGGGAAGAACAACCATAGGAAGAAATCAAAAACCATAGGGAGAAATTGATATACCTGAGAAATCAAAAACCTTAGGAAGAAATCAAAACCATAAGAACATATGTAAAAACTCCAATCTCTAGAAAGTGAATTATTATAGACAATGCCCACAAAGTTCCCACTACTACATACTCTAAGTTTGTCGAACGAACTAAGTGATTTCTAGTTCCACTGATATGAAGATTTATATTCAAATCTTTTTTGTAATGTAAATCTCAACTAATATTTGAACCTTAACTAAAAACATACAACATCCGTATATGTACATGATTATTAAAGACTTTCTCAAATCGTTATGCATCACTTAAGTCATATTTCGAATCTGTCCATCTCTTATAATATTAATACTTGTTATTTATGGATATTGTTAGGGGGAGCCCTGGAGTTGAAATGATCGACTTTCCGCGTTGAGTTAAACTCCTGACTCAATTGATCAAGCTTAAGAATTAGTAATATTGGCAATAGCCAAGTATTGTCTACTAGTCTTATCTTACACCCACACTTACACACAAAAGGGGTGATTAGCTTATACTAAAACTAAAGAACATAGTAGAAATAGAGAAATGCATAAGAAATACTTGTATTAAAATTTAAGTAAAACTATTAATGTAAAGGGCAGATAGTAGGCAGAAACGTAATACTTGAAATTAAATACAAGACAAGAATCAAATGATGAAAATCAAACTCTAACTATTGCTTCAAATCTTCAAGTTGAGAGTAAAATCTTGAAGAAGGATGTGTATTAAATGCTTTCTCCATGCTTTTACCCAATGGAAAGTGGCATAATTCCAACTTTAAGACAAAAGGGTTCCTTTCTTCAGATCTTGTGATATCTTTAGATTATCCTTCAGTTTTGGATCATTCAAGTAACCCCTAAATAGGATGCTCGATCTTATCTAAATCTGCCTCAAGTTTATCCACGATAGGCACTATCCAGCAGTGACGGTTTTTGGAATAAAATTAAATCTTTGGCCATTCAACACCTCTTAAAAACATTTTAAATTAAAAGAAGAAGATAGAAGCAAAATGGGTATAAAA